GTTCTCCAGCAGAGCCTGTTAGAATGTTAGGGAAATTCGCATGAGGATGGAGAAGAAAACTTTAGCATTATTTTCCTTAAGCATGACACTGCCTACGAACATATATAAGGGGCTAGATTAAAGGACAAGGAAGTAGCAGAATCCACTCAGGATGGCTTGGATGGTTTAGCTGCTATGCAGAGCAGAACTAGATTTTTTTTCCAAATTTCTTTCTAGGCTTTTTGAGCTTAAGTTGCAGTGATAAACACACATACACCATCACTTAAAAGCAAAGACAGCTAATCATGGCCACACGTTTAGTCACATTTAATTGTTACACTTCAGAACATTTGAAAGCCCATGTTTGTCTTGGTACTTCCCAAAGGTGCACAGTAATTAGGGAAGCCATACTGTACCAAACTTGAACGCTCAGGAACACTGGATGAACATCACCTAGCAATGACATTATTTCAAAGAAAGCAGATGACTTCTCTCAATAAACAGCGACCCAAACAAGCAAGACATATTGGTCAACATAACGTCGCTTCCCTGTCAAAGCGAGCCTTCTGTCACTTTTCGATAAAGGATTGTACCAACTTCTCTCTCCACTTGAACTCTTTTGCTTTTGTGAGCTCTTATAACTGTATTTACTTGAAAGAAGTAGTAGGAAGGTCCTGGAGAGATAAGAACTCTCCCTTTATTACTCTGTTCTGGAAAACAGAACAGAAATAGGTCAGTTCTTAAGGAAATGATGGCTGCATACATAAATAATGTAAACACTCCTATCACTGTCCTGGGAGGACATTTATCACCCAGACAGCCACGGAGACCGACATCTGGCCAATAAACTGCTCCTATTCTCAGCTCCCCTGCGTGCCCTGTAGAAATGTTGAGTTGCCAATTGGAAACTTGATTATTATCAGTCAAAAATAACCAGGGAGCTCTGGCAATGATTGAACTCGTTTGACTTTCTTAAGCTAACAATTAACGTTTTAGACGATTGTTGACAAAACATTTAACTTTCCCATACTGTGTGTGCAAACGACTTTCCTAATATTCCTTAGACGCCCTGGTGGACCCGCCTTTCCCGGGCTGCTCAGGTCCACGCCGAGGCCTGCAAGAGGCGTGCGTTCCGAGGCCCCAAACGCTTTGCTTCGCAGCACCGTCCCCATGAACTCAGACTTTCCGGGATCTTCTGGAACACTTACGCACACCGATATCTCAGTCTTATCTCGACAGCACTGTATTTGCAACACCAATCCCTCTATTTACAATAAAGGCTATGTCACCATCTCAAACACTCCACTGAGAGCCTCAGGATACTTTTAATCCCTGGGAAAACTGGTATTGAGACCTGTGGTCGCGTCGTTTGCTATTAGAAATACTAGCAGTCATGCCCTGCATTTCGGCAGTGCTTTAGCTCTTCCAAAGCCTGTTCGGAAACACACATTCATTTGCTTCTCTCAACAACCCAGGGCAGGTTATTGTTCTCCCTGCTTTACAGATGACTGTTAAGTAGCGTGTCCTAGGTCACCCAGCTGGTAGTGATCAAGCCGGCACAGAACCGGGGATGCAGAGCCCCCGTCCGATCTGCTTTCTCTCCTCCACACTACATTAGAGAAAAGATAATCTCCACAGCCAAAGATGGCTTGGAACCACTTATCTATCCACCCTAGCAACAGCGTGTGCAACAAGAAAAAAGAGCTTGTCTCGGGCAAAAGGGAAAGATGGATAACGCACCACAGAAGCTCACCCTGTGCTGTTCCGTAGACCGGCTATTATTCAGTTTTACAGTTCATTCAGAGACTCAAACATACTTCCCCAGCAAGTGATTTAGTGCCTACAGCCTGCTCCCAGTGGCTAGAAACACAGATCTTCTTTAAGCCCTAGGATCCGGGCCCTCTCAAAGGCCCCGTTCCCGCAGTCCCTGCAGCTGTGGGGCTTCCCCTGAACTTGTACTTGAGCTAAATGAAGAAACTGGCTGAGTAAGGGCTGCAGAATTAGGCTCTCGATGTGGACGGAATTAGAACTGGCTTGGGGGTTATTCTTGCATTGTTCTTGCATCTTGGGCTATTAAAATAGCTCAGGCATTGTATATTTCGTGCCGTATAACACTCCTCAAAGTCAACACCATCTCGCGGAACGGAAGTTCCCCTTTCGCCATCATTCAGACACTAACTAGTAGTATTACCGACTTGTCTACAAGGCATTGTGCCAGCAGGTAGGCAGGGTACGGGGCTTTCGGCCGAGGACACAGTGCGAATCTGGCTTGAGGTGATCAATATGCGCTGCCTTCCTCCAAAGGGTGTTTATGGCCACTTAGGAGATACTAATGAATGATTAAAGCGATACGTTCAACACACCCAGACGGAAATAAATCTGGTTCCGGACACCGCCGCAATACCATGAAAAAGCCACTCCGATGCTTATTCTGCACAAGAGGCCCCGTTACATCCGCAGTGTTTAGGGAACTCAGAGGAGCAGGAGTGGAGTGAGACCTGCAGGCCCCATGGGCTCGGCAAATCACTCCCAAACGCCCAGACCCTTCGCACACAATGTTATCAGGTTAATTCGGCACTTGCATCACCGATCGCTGAGTGCCATGCTGAATAACCAAGCGCCAAATTTAGAAGCTAAAATGGAGAAGGGAATTTCCAATAACCAAAGGGGCGTGGGGAATAACCATTGTCCCTCGCAATGCCACACACGTTCAAGGAAAAACAACTATTATCTTTTGACCCCTAACTCACATGGCCCCCTCTCGTCATCACTCAGACAGGGTGGGCCCACAGGGACGGTGTCAGGCGATGGCTGGCGGTCAGGAGAGAGAACACGGATTCCCAGGAAGACCAGGACGGGAACAGCGGCCACCTCTTTGGCTTCCGCAGCATCAAAGCCTTCAGTTGGGAAAGGCCGGACACTGCACTCTCACTTCCTCCCGCTGTGAATATTGCTAATCGCAAAGTTACAATCACCACTGAAGTTGGTTTCATTTCGCATCCTTGAACCCCCAAGTGGAAAAAAAAAAAAAAAAGAAGAAGAAAAAAAGTGGGAGAAAAGCAAAAGCCAGGAGAACAAGGCCGTGGGCAGGCGCGCCGCCTCCCTCCCAGGAGCTGGGGTGCGAGGGGCACATCCAGGCTTGGCGCCCAGAACAGAGGTCAGTCTTCTCCCCGGAGCAGGGCCGGGCACCTCGGTCCCTGTCTCATCCCCAGAAACACTTACCAGGAGGCCGGGAAGCACACAAAGCCGTATTATTGGGAGCCTTGCAGACAGATTATAAATTTACTGGGGACAATCGAGGCATTTAGATACTTTTGGCTGCAGATGCTGGTGACACACACATGCATACAAACCTCATTCTTCTCACCATTGGAGTGACTCTCCCCACTCCCCACACCCACCTCACCTCAGCATCTCTCCTTCACTAGCTCTCAGAGGGAATTCCAGGGAGAGGCGGGGACAGAGCAGGTGGCAAGGAGAGGACATTAGCCTTTGAAGCTCTAGCAGAGCCCCACAGACCGATCTTACTCAAGGATAAAGCAGCAAACACTGGGCAGGGTAGCTGCTTGCAGTTATTTTTCATCTGGAGTCGGCGCCAGGAAGTTGCAGTTCTGGGCATCCCAAGCAAAAAGCGTGTGTGTGTGTGTGTGTGTGTGTGTGTGTGTGTGTGTCGGGGGAGAACACCCTCTTAGTCCCCCAGTTTCTGGAAACCATCCCTACAGGGATAAGGGGGAGCCACAGAGGCGCACGCTATGGCTGGTCTGTAAGGTGTCTTCTGCCTGGAGCTCCTTTGCAAACTCCGTTGGAGAAGTTCAACGCAGTGCCTTCCTTCCTTTGGGCTTTTTGAGTACTTTTCGGCTGGCCTGGCTGTTTCCTGTTGCTGACTTTCATTAGGGCTGACTTGGGCAAACTGGAGCTGTGGTGTGGGCAGACCCAGGATGCAGGAGCCCCACAGAGCTCAGAGATGGAGAAAGCTGGTGGGGCCTTGGGGCCTTGAGGCCTTGGGGCTGTGGGCCGGCAGGCTGCGGGTCTGCAGGCTGCGGGGCCTTTGGGACTACGTGTGGGGCTGCCGGCTGCAGGATGCGGGTATGCGGGTCAGGGCTCCACCTTCTCCCCCGGGGCTGGTGGGGGAAGCTTGCACATGGCAAGCAGTCACCTGACCAGGACTGGCATGCAAAAACCAATGAGTCAAGGGATACTCCCTCTGGGACGGGGTGGATCTGTGCCTCCAAGGAAGAACTTCCCATCAGGAACCTGACAGAACTTTCAGGTCTGATGTCCCGTCGGCACCAGCAGTGGCTTGAAGACAAGCCACTTCCCGGGATGACAGCTTGAGCTCAGCCCCTCAGTGCCAGCCCACTATAATGAACACCCTCGTTTGTCACTGTCCACCGGTAGTGTCTATGAAAAGAAGCTGGGGGAGGGGGCTGGGGGAGGCGGTAGAGACTCAGGGAGCAGGTCTCCTAGAAAGATTGCCTCCCTGGTCTGGGATTGTCCCCTCCACCTTTTGTTTTGTACTGAGGGGACCCTCACGGGCCTCTGGGTTGCAGACCACCACTTGGCTTTTCTGGAAGGGGCCCCCTCAAAAGGCAGCAGGGGAAAGGATCCGTTCCCCTGATCCATGTTTTCAGGCCGAAGCATGGCTGGTTGGGCCTAATCAGAGCTGACTAGCTGAAGCTGGCGCATCCCCAAGACCCTGGCTCAGCTCTTGCCCGCCTGTAGCCACCTCCGCTCCAAGGACTAGCTGAGGCCTCGCAGAGCCTCTGGAGAGCTCGGCTCCTCCCCAGGAAGGAGCACCCCGCACGTGGAGGAGCATCCGTGCGCGCTCACCAGCAGGACTTGCTGAGTAAGAGCATGAACCACACGCTAAGCACACACCCCATGGCCTGGGCGGCAGGCAGGGGACACCATGGCCCTCTATACCGCCGTCCCCTCCGCAGCCTCAGGCCCGGGCAAGCTCTCCCCTCGCACCAGGCCGCACGACCACAGCCCAGAACCATGAGAAAACCAGGTAGCCTTACCGCAATCAGGGCCGAGTTCCGCTGGTCCCCGGGGGTGGATGCTGGCGCTTGCTGCTCGCCCTCGAGACCACCACCGCTCCCGTTATTGCCGCTGCCGCTGAGCAGGTGCTGCTGGTGGTGGTGGTGATAGTCCGGCGGGGGCGGCGGGGCCCCTGAGGCTTGGGGGGTCGCAGGAGGGGCTGCGGAGGGCGCAGAGGCCGCGGTGGCAGCAGAGGCTGCAGCGGCAGCAGCAGCGGCGGCGGCGGCCGTGGCCTTGGCGTGCTTGCCGGTCTTCCTGGCGCCCTGGCCGTGCTGCACGAGGCTCAGGAGCTGCAGGGTGCTCTCTCGCTCGCGGTCCGAGCTCTCGGCCCGGCCTCGCTCGTAGCGGCCCTCGCAGCTCAGGTGGTGCTGGCGGCACACAGCAATGCGCGCCCGCAGGCGCTCCACGATGGCGCTGTGCACCCTCGGGGCCACGGAGCCCCCTCCCAGGAGGCCCGCCCCGGGGGCCGCCCCCAGCCCTCCCGAGGGGGCTTGCGGGGGCGCTGTGTCCCCCATCTTCGTGGATGCAAGGACGGCTGCCTCCTCCGGTATGGTGGGGCGGCAGGAGGCGGCAGGAGCTGGCTATTCCTCCGGGCAAGTCTGTGCTTGACAATGCGGGCTCAGCGCTCAGGGCCACATGAAGAGAGGCCTTCCAAGGTTTGAGGAGGGAGGGGCGTTGGTTAAAAAAAAAATAGGATGAGGAGCAAGAAGAGAAGCGGGAGGCAGAGGAGGAGGAGCCGGAGAGGAACCCTGATCGGCTCGCTCTAACGGGGCCTTTGACAGCAATGCACAAGTTGGAGAGCTTCAGTGGGGTTCCCCGGCCCCAAGAGCCACTCAGTACCTGGCCACCCCACAGCCTGGGGTTCGAGCAAGAGGACCCAGGGGGGGTGCCGGGGCAGCCAGAGGCAGCGAAGGGGGCTGAGAGAGGGATGATCAGGGAACCGGCCCCCCCTCACCTAGTAGTTTCCCCACATTCCTGGTGGGGATGCTCCTGCAGAGACACGCGTTCCCACCAGCGTCTGGGGGACCCGCAGCAGCCTTCACTTTTCCTTGGGTTAAAAAAAAAAAAAAATGCCGTTTCAGGAGGTTTCCGAAGTCACTGTTCCCACAGTACAGCAATCAGGAGAGGCTGTCTTGTCGGCTCTTCATTCCTCCTGCCTCCCTTCCCCTGGCTCCGGGGTGTCCTCCTCTTTGGGGGGGCAGTGGGGTGTCTTCTCCCCACGGGCTCACGGGGCCAGTGGCTGGGCTGTGGGACCACGCTGCCCCCTCTCCTCGGCGGATCCAGCCCCCGGCGCAGTCCTCATGCCTCTAAGCGTCGCTCGCCTCCCGGGAAAGCAGCCCGGAGTCGCTGGCCCCCAAGACCCCCTTGTGCATGCCCGCCCTGTCCCCGCTTTAGGCTTCCGCTCCTCACCCCGGCTGGCTCTCCGGAGACACAAACTCCTGCCCTCGGAGGGATTTGCAAACGGCGGTCCCACTCACAAACTTCCAGCGAACTGCACCGAGCCGCCGGCGCCGGCCGCGCTCCCGTCCACTTGGGCGCGTTCCATCCCGGCCGGGGGTCCGGGGGTCCGGGGGTCCGGGGGTCCGGGGGTCCGGGGGCCCGGGGGTCCGGGGGGGTCCGGGGTCCGGGCTCGCAATAAGCAGTGCGGTCCTCTCGTTCTCTTGTATGGATCTCCGCTTGATAGGTGGAAAGAAGAAGAAGAAGAAAAAAAAAAGTAGCTTGTATTTTCCTTTCTCTTCCCCGTCTGTGGTTGGCCCGCTGGGCTGACACGGGCTCCCCTGGCCCCGGAGTCACGGCGACACACAGGCGTTCATTGTGCTCCGATAGCAGAGGGAGAGAAAGAGAGTGAGACAGAGAGGCAGAGGGAGAGAGAGCCAGCAAGCTGCAGATGGGGGGGGGGGGGGGGGGGGGCGGAGGGGCGGGAGGCAGAGCGAATCCGGGGCTCCCTGGCGGAAGGCTGGTGCCACTGCACGAGTGAGTCATTGCCGCCGCCGGGCTCCGGGGAAAGGGGGACGCAGAGGGCCTCCCAGTGGCCGCAGAGGTAAATCCCAGGCCCGAGAGGCTCAGCTCAGCCCAGCTCGGCTCAGCTCGGCTCTGCAGGGGCAGAGGGGTAAGGCCCGGGAAATTCCCCAACCTCCACACAACTACTTCATCAGCTGTAAACGTTTAAGAAATCCCCGGCCAGGGAATGTAGTTTCCTACCTGATGCGCCCTCCCCTCCCCACCCCACCCCCACCCCCCGAGGATATCATTTTCATTTTTTCAATATGTTGTCAATGACACCCCTGAGCACCCAGCGAGAGCTGGGCGAACGTTAAGGAAACGTGCGCTTAGGAACCGGGCGGTGTGACTGCGTGCGTGCCTGGGGGTGCGGAGAGAGGGTGGAGAGGAGAGCAAATCACACCCAGGGCTCCCACAGGCAGGCAGGCGGCTTGCCTACCTTCCTGTGTGCCTCTGGACCCGAGTGGATCACAAGCAAATCAGTAGACCAACAGAATATTTTATGATGAAATTAGCAATACTCGTTCTGGAAAAAGGAAAGAAAAAAAAAAGTTTCTTTGAAAATACAAGCGTGTCAAATACAACCAGGCATGGCTATCTGGTTTACATAGGCCAGGAGGAAAATCAATGTGTAGGAGGAAAAGAAATGTGCTGAAGGGGCTAGCGACTTCAGACTGCTTTCCTGTGAGGCTAGGATTGAGGACTGTGCCGGTGACTGGATTAGCCAAAGAGGCAAGGGTGGTGCGAAAGTGCAGGGACTGTAGTGGCAGGCGAGCTTCAAGAAGTTTAAGAACACAAGCCAAACAGCTCTCTCACACAGACTAGTGTACCCTCATCTTCAGGCGATCCTACCTTGAAGATCCCAAGCTATACATTGAATTCGGCTTGCCATTACTAGCTATGGGAGGATAAATTAAAGTGAACACAAAATTGGTATGGTGGGGACCATAATTACTCTGTGTCATTGGAAATCATTGAAGTCTCAAGCAATAGTGCTTTATTTACATCAACTCTGGTATCACAGTAAATGTCCTGCTTCAAACCAAGGTGTGAATAGAAGTGAGTGGGTAAAATCAACATTTAAAATCAATAATTTATTTGCAAGTTAGTTCCAGAAAAGCTGGCCTACTTTAGTCCATTTTATTTCCACAAATCTGTGAATGTTTGGAATTGAGGACAAGTACACTCTGATGGCATATGAATTTTATACTTTTTCCTGGAACATACTTCTCTCTGCCCTTCACAGGCTAAGTTCCTCAGTGCTCTGCAGAGAAAGGCAGGACTCCATCTTGGTTGGTAGGCACATTTGAACGGAGCACTCTCTCAGGAGATCTTGATAAAAAGTGAAGGAGTTTTGATCATTTTATGTTTGATTTTTTGAAAGTTGCATTCATTAGACATTCTCTCCGCTGGTACTATAGGTGCTTTGTATTCCACAATTATACTTAATAAACGAGAAAGCATGTAATACTTAAGTTTAACACTTATTGTTCATTCTGGCGTGCAGTAGCACGGGTTTTGATTAATAACACAAATCCTTGGTCAAGTCCACTATTCCTAAATGTTGTCAACTTTGATTTCCATGCCACACAGGGACATCTTAAAAACTTCTCGAGCAAGAGTTTAACACATTTTCATTCTCTATTCCAGTGGTGTAGGACATTCAGTAGGGTGTCTTTTGCACACTTTTACTCTTTACAACCATTTAATTTCCAGCTGACATCATTATCATCCATGTTACTATTTATTTACAGTCACTGTTTCAGACACAGGGCTTGGCATATATCTCCCTTAATTTACAAACAATCCAGAAAGATAGGTATTATCAACCCCATTTATAAATGAGGGAACCGAGGCTCATCAGAATTAAATGACTTGTTCCAGTACATATAACTGGGGGGAAAAAAGACTAGGACTTGAACTCAAGACTGGTTTCAGCTTATGCTTTCTTAACCACTGGGTTTACTGCTTCAATATCAGGTGTGAAAAGAGTTACAGGGAAGCCAGACTATCCCCAAAATAGCTCAAAGACTGCAATTACATCTCAATCAACATGCTGGAGTCTAAGCAAGTCCTATAATACTGCCAAGAAATGAGTAGTGAATAGAACTACTCATCTGAATATGAGAGCAGACAAAATTGGTCAATTGTATCCAATTCCCCATAAAATCAATAATTTTCCCCTTTTTATGGTGCTTTCCCCTCTTATAACCCTAAAGCTTCGGAATAACCTTATACATTCTTTCAAACATTACTTCCCTTTTACTTGTGCATTCTCTTTCTCATCATCTCCACTATCCATAGCTACCTAACACTGAAGCATCTAACACTACAGTAATAAATGCCCAAATCTGAAAAGTTCACAGACATGTGAAATTTTTAATTTTACAAACTATTTCTTTTTAGTGTTATATTGAAGAATGATATCAATGATGATGATAAAAAATAATATAGTATGTCCTAATACCTGTAAAAGTTAATTCTATTTTTCAACATTTCTGGTTTTTTAGACATTCTTGCTTTTGGCTCCCCAATCTATACTAATTCTCACTTCCTAACAGCCTTACTGCTTTGCCCTGTTGGCTGTATCGTGCACTAAAAGCCTCTTGTATTCTCTCTCCAAACACCCACCAAAGTAGCTTGCTCATTTGCAATGACCTCAAACATCAGCAATAAGGTCTGAATTCCTCATAGGCATCAGGATCGGCATTTTCACCACTTTGTGAGCGTTTGCTACCCATTTTGTTTGCAATAACAGGAATAATTTCAAAAAATTAATTGCAGAAAATATCAAGTAGTCTTGATGAAAGGACTCAACAACGTGTAGCATTTTATGTATACTGAAGTCCATGAGATGAACCACATAATGAAGCCAGGTTCAACCAACATTTGAAGTAAGAAACAAGTATCTAGAATTTCAGTAAAATAGAACCTGCTGGAACATCACTTTTAGGAATTAAAGATACAGAGAGACAGTCCATTTGTTCACTCTAAAATCATTTCACTTTTATTAAATTATGGAAACATTTAGATGTGCAAAGCAATGCAGATGCCAAAGTATATTTTTAAAATATTTTTGGCTGAATAATCTCTCTGAGATCTTCTGATCCTAACATAAATACTTATATTATAAAATTATGGATACAAAGCAATAAAATACATCTTAATCATTAACACATAGGCAAAATTGAACAGAAAAAAAGAAAACATTGTGAATCATGAAAATACATATTATAAAATGATTCCTGAATGTGAGGATTAAAACTCTGAAGGCCTAAAATTTATTTCTAAGGGAAACTGTAGAAAAATAAAAAAATTACTATAGTCTGATTCTGAGGCAAGGGCATTAAACTGAATGAAACACTGAGGTTTATCCCATAGTCAACTGATTTACATGATAGCAGTAAAAAATACATTAGTCAAAATAGAATAGCAAACACATCTGGCAGGGATTCAGCAATACATACATGTTAATGTTGGTCAGAATGCGTACATGTAGATATTAGTCAGCAATACATACATGTTGATGTTAGTCTAAGTACATTTTAAAAATACAGTATTTTTCTATTGACAGGACATGAACATTTATTTCTTGATTGATAATCATCTATTATAAAGATATTGTTATTAACTTCAAATACATTTAAAAATAATTAGGCTTATGTTTTCTATGGATAGCAGATAAAATTTATTGGACTGTAGAATAATACTTCATGGAAATTAAGACGAACATGTTTTAAACAAGATATTTTGCCATGAAGAAATACAGAAAATATATAAATATGTCACGTGATACAGAGAAACAATATCCATGATCTTCACATCTACAGGAATTTATAAAATCTTCTCTGAAGGAAAGGTGTTACAATGCAAACTTCTCTTCTTGAAAGTAATCCGCATCACTGAGATATTTTTGAAGTAGACCATATTTCTGTGTATAAAATAAAAAAAAAAACCTAGTTATTTTACTTAAAGGAATGGAAGTAAGCTACGCCTTTTCAATCTACAGACAGGAACAAGAACAATTTCATTTCATGGTAATCATGAGTAAAAATACTTTAATATAAAAAGGGACTCAAATTTAAATTGTTAATTCCTAACTCACATAAAGCATTATTAATTCCATAACTTTCTTGTAAACTATGTACTTTGAATATATTTATTGTAGAAGTGTAACAACTTCAATAATTTATTTAAAAATTTGTTGAATGAATAACATATATCAAACACTCTGCTAATGACTAACTGGATACAAAAAAAATTTGCTATTCCTACCCCTAATGAGAACAGAGTTCAGTAGTAATAGTCCAATGACAGCCAATAACAAATGCTGTAAAGCAGGCGGAAATTGTTCTGAGGCTTCAGAACGGGGAGCATGGTGAGCTGAGGTGACCAGAAAAGAATGGCATCCACGCTATCCTGGGAAAAACCATTTGGTAGCAAAGGTTTGGTGGGGAGAGCTCTGTAGGAGACAACAGTCCATACAACAGTGACAAGACAAAGTATGGGATTTTACTATGATCAGGTTTTTTAGAAGAATCGAGAGAGATAAGACTGATCCAAAGAGCCTGAAGTCAGGGAATACAAAGTATGAAATGCCAGTAGGTTAAGGAGTTTAGCACTAACATGACAGGCAACAGAAAGTTATTAAAGGTGTTAAGGCAGAAGATTGACATGATCCAAGGTGTATTTTTTTTTAAAAGGTAAAACATCCATTCTAGAAGAATTTGGCAAGTAGTTAGGAGTCTACTGCAATAATTTAAGTAACAAGGGCCCAAATCTCAGTGACAGCAATGAAGACGGAGAGTAAAGGTAAAGGTAGAATGAGAGAGAGAGAGGAGTCAGGATGATTTGGAGACTTCAAGGTGATAGAGTTCCCAGTGCTTACCTCAGTTGGGAGATTAACTGACTAATGGTTTCTTAATTCTTCTTATGAACTGACTGTGATTCTTCTCCCAGTGAGATGATGACCCTGATTTTTGTGGTAAATGGAAGGTTCCAGACAGGGGCATGGAACCTTCCCCCTACCTACAAAGATCTCTGACTCAAAAAGAAGAACAGAAGAAATAACCTACTGACTACTTAGGGATTCTCTTCAGCTCTTACCCAGACAGGTTCTATTAGATATAAGCAAAGTTCTCTAGGACAGTGGTCAGCAAACCGCGGCTCTCGAGCTACATGTGGCTCATGAGCCACGGTTTGCCGACCTGTTGACTACTGTGTTCGCCGACCACTGCTCTAGGATTAGAAGCCTATACTTTAAATATCTGACTGTTTTTATGCCTTTCACATTATCATTATATTCTTTTTTATTTATTAAATTTATTTTGGAAAATTACAGCCTATCTGAGCTCTACTAAGGAAGGAAAACCTCTCCTTGCTTTTATTACCAATAGGTAACATTAATAGACTACTTACTAATTCCTAGGTCCTATATTAAATGCTTACCATGTGTTATTTATTTAATCTCCATAATCAAAACCCTAATTATTATTATTTAGTTCCTATTTTACTGAAGATAAAACTTAGGCTTTCAGAAGTGAAGATATTTGCCCCCCATATTCAACTGCTAGAAAATATTTAAATCCATGCTTTTAACCATTATATAATAGTATGCTATTTTTGAGATTTAAAGGGAGGGAACAGGGTGCAGCTTTGGTGTGAAAAATGAAAAAAGGGACAGTGAAACTCAGAGAGAAGGCAGCATTGCCTGGCCATTCATTCTCTCTACTATTACTTTTTACTAAAAATTTGGAGTTTGAGTTTTATTATGTCAAGTGCCAGATGGACCTACTGATGAAAACTGATGGAATTGTGGGAATAACAGCATGAGAAAGAGCTCAGAACACAAAAGGAAATTTGGTGTCATCTAAGTAGCAGCAGTTTGACCTGAAAAAAAGAAATGGGGAACCTAGTACAGCATTTAGTTCTAAGTAGGGGCCCTCACTTTTTAATTTGCTAAGAATCACCTAATATGTTAACCATTGGGTTTAACATCCCCAAAGGATTCACATTTAATAAGTCTGCAGTGACGCAAGGGACTACAGAGTTTTCACCAAGTTCTAGGTGATTCTGAGAGGCAGTTTAGGGCCATGTTTTGAGAAGCATCAGTTTAAGGAGTGGAAGACAAAAAATCTTTTAAAGTTGAAAAGGGATAAAGAAAGAACAAGTGAGGAGTTTTGGGAAGGGGCAGGATACCCAATCATAATTTAAAAATTTTATCTCTGTAACAATATTTTTGTAATACATTTGAAATTTATTTAAAATACATCTGTAAATGGAAACTTGATACTTGTATTGATGTATTGTCTTCACTTTCTGGTGTTCATGTGGTCACCACCCCATCCCAACTATATACAACTTCCCTGAAAACCCCATCATCATATGCACTTTCTTCTTAACAACAGCAGCAAAAAATTTTGTTAGAATTTTGCCAAAGGCATATACTAGTATGTTCTTCCACTCAAATTTAGAATGAGACATATATTTCCATTATATTTATTATATATTTTGGTTTTATTATAAGTTTATCATTTGTTCTTTTTAAAATATATATATACTTTTATTGATTTCAGAGAGAAAGGGAAAGAGAGAAACATCAATAATGAGAATCATAGATTGACTGTGTCCTGCATGCCCCATACCAGGGATCAAGCCAGCAACCAGGCATGTGCCCTAATTGGGAATCAAACCATGACCTCCTGGTTTATAGATCAACGCTCAACCATTGAGCCATGCCAGCTGGACAATTTTTTATTTTATTTTATTTTATTTTTTGCACTCAAGTTGCTCTTAATCTTTAATGAAATTAGGTTATAAGTAGATCTTCCTAGTTCAACTGTTAAGAGGAAAAACAAGAAGAATAAAGTCAGACTAGGTGGCATGTGTTGAGGAAAAAATGCTGAGATATCCTGAGATGATGAAAGAGCAAAGGGGGGTGGGTGACAGGAACAAACCGTTTGTATAAGGTAAAAGGGGTTGACATAATAATTGGGAGGCAAGAGCATAGAGAGCCACAAATATATAACCATTCAGGTAGCACAGAGCCTGGCACTGTGACTGTAGCCAAAGGAGGAGGCATCATCACTCGAACCACACAGGGACACTGAGGAGTGGGCGGAGTGAGGCTGAGAATGTCAGAGCGCCGTATCCATTTGGATTTTAAGCACAGCCCTAAAAGCTGCACATGGTTTTATGTTGGTTACGAACTTTAGTTTCCAGGAGAAATCTTTTGAGATAGGGTATGGACAAATATTTTTAAAGTAGGAGGGAATCTCAACAATAAAATGAGCCTCTTTAACATTTTATGTGGAAAAAAAAATGTGCATGTTGTTCTAAATGTGTATGATTTTGAAATTCAATCAATGCACAACATTAAGTATTATTCTTTAAGCAGTATATGGCACTTAGCTTTCTTTTTCCTTTCATTTTTTTCTTTTTTTTTTTAAATATATTTTATTGATTTTTCACAGAGAGGAAGAGAGAGGGATAGAGAGTTAGAAACATCGATGAGAGAGAATCATCGATCAGCTGCCTCTTGCACATCCCCTATTGGGGATGTGCCCGCAACCAAGGTACATGCCCTTGACCGGAATCGAACCTTTCAGTCCGCAGGCCGATGCTCTATCAACTGAGCCAAACCGGACCCGGCTAGCTTTCTTTTTCTAAGAATATTGTTTTTTCTTATTCCAGGTCCCTTCTGTTGTTACATACATACCCTGTTAAGATTTCTCTAAGGTATTTAATCTTAAAATAGTTTTATATATATATATATATATATATATATATATATATATATATATATATATATATATATATATATATATATAATACAGGCACAGTGATTTTTTTTTTGACACCTAGTACACAATTCTTTAAAAATGTGCTGCCCCAATAGATCTCTCAAATCCACTAAAGGGCTGGCAACACTTAAGAATTTAATGTCATCTAGGAAAATGAAGACAGGACATACTGGATAAGAGATGGCTCCTTCCTACGGCAAATTGGAAAGCACAGAAGACAGGGAGGAAAGCAATGGGACTGAGAGAAGCAGAAGCAAAATAAGAGATAAAAAGCTGGAGAGAGTCACATGAGAGAAATGAGACTTAAGTGTCCAGATGTGGGGAGTGGGCAAAGAGATCCCTGGGCGGTGGTTTGTAGTGGGAGGATATTGTCAAAAAGGCAACCAATTTTGATGTCATTCTCCAGACCCGGAGCATCACAAGTCCTAAGAAGTTCCCGTTTTCTTGTTCTCTTTTTCTTTCCTTTTGCTAGTAAATTTGTTCTCTGAGCTCTCTTCTTTTTCCTTTTCCTCTTTCACAAATTCCCCTAGCCTGGAAATAACTCAGGCAATGGATCTCAAGTCATGCCTTATTGTTTTTTTTTTAGATTAAATATACTGTTGATCTGAGGTGCCTGAAAACCTCCTATGTATTCTCTCTTCCACATTCACGTGACTAGACCTGTCTTAAAAGGTTTCAATCCCAGGAGCATCCTTTGCATGTACCACAAACAAGTCTAGAAGCTCTGGGAGCAGACCAGAGCTTAGAGCTGCCTCCAGGAATCCAGTGCACTCTTCAGGACCTCCACTCGATCCCTAGTACCAAATTTCGTGACCAGCAGGATATGGGGAGAGCAAAATCAGTGCCCTGGCCTAAAAGCTCTGCATTTCCCTCAATCTTCAGGGGCCAGTGCTCACTGCTCAGTCTCATGTCCTCAAGAAGAGGATGTGGGTGGCAGTAGACCTGGCAGCCAGGATTTCCCCAGATTCGCACCGGGGGCTTCTTTACTCTCAGGTCACAAGAACTGTTTGTTCTAAAGAACAGGAAGCAGACAAGCAGAGGTGAGTCCTGTATTTTGGCAAAGAAAACAAGGGGACTTTATAGGCATATGTGTATATACATACATACACACGTCAGCAATGACACATCTATAAAAGTGAAAGGACAGGAAGCCTCCATGGAGGGGTAGTGTTATTGCTGATTAAAAGTTACCCGACGAGCTAAATGACTACCTTAGAACATCACCTATCTGGGGTAGGACAATGATAAGCATGATAGGAATGGGTAAAAAAAAGAGAAAATGCAAACACTGGGAGAGAAGGAGAGATTCCTTTTAAATTTTGCTGCTTTCTAATCATTGACATCCTTTAGCTACTCATACTTAGGTCCAGAGTCTACTGAATGGGAGGGTTATCTCATATCCCCCTTACCTCCTTAATCCAGCCATTTTCTTTCAACTGATTGAAAATTCTTTCCACTGTTTCTTTAACTTGTTCATTCTCAACTTCTTCCATATTTACCATGGAGCAACATTCTTGATACAGTTTGAATTTAAAATGTTTCAGATTATGATAAACTCTGGTTCGGTTTGCACAAATTCTGCCAATAAAAAATTCCTAAATCAAAAAATAAACATAATTTGGCATGTGATGTGAATAACATAGCAATTAATATAGACTTTCTGCCTTTCAGATTTTTAATAGTAGAATCTAATGCATTGTTTATTTTTTAAATGAGTATACAATGGTTCTTTTACCTTCTCTTTCTTATATAACCCAGTTAACAAAAACTGAGCACTTACTATGTTCCAAGTATTGGGCTGAGCACTGGAGATACGTAAGTGAAAGATGCCCTACCTGTATTAAGAGAGCTTATAGGAGAGTTTGGGAGTAAATCAAATGGTTACAAAACAATTTGTCAAATACTAAGCACACGATTCTATAAAGATACAAAGGTGGGACAGTTAACTCAATCTGGAGGAGAAAAGGGTCCTCAAAAAGGTGAAGCTTAAACTAAGTCTTCAAAAAAAAAAAAGAGTTTGGGAAGGAGGAGAAAAATGTCTTGTAATATAGATTATAGGAACGCCTATCAAGAAAAACATGCAGGCTGCTGTACGTACATGGGTACTGAGTTTAAAATGCCTGGGTTACAATAATTTCCTAGCTTATAAGCAACATGTAAAACTAAAACAAACTCTCATACTAGTACTAAGTACTGGCAGTTTTTACTTAATACTTTCTTCTAAAAAACTTTTGTAGAGTAGAAAATAACTGTTTAATCATATCCATGTCCTTAATTAATGAGTCTGATCTGATTATAATATTAATATTTTGTCGTTTGCAAACTGCCTTAGAACATCACTATTTGCTACTCATAACTAGGTCCAGAATTTTGAACTGCAAGGATTTTAATTTTTATGTTTATATGGACTTCTAGGATTTTATGATTAATAATACTCATCTTATGAAATCAATCTCAACAAAAACATTTCCCTTTCAGAATACTCTGACTATACACTTTGTTATCCACACCTATTGCTAAAATGGGAAAAGTGTCACTGCACTGAGCTAATGAAATATAACTGTACCCACATTGTTTTACTCTCTGTAAGAAATGAAACAGAAAGGGCTCCGGGCATTCTAACATGATTAACCTTATTTCATGGAGTAACCTTGCTAACTTATGTATTTGACTCTGTGCATAAATTCACTTCGGTACAAGTGATATAGTAACAACACTGATCTATGTAACTTGTATTCTATTTGACAAAGAATTGCACCCTTTTTTCTGAAGCCACATTGCAAGGGTTCACACAGGTGATAAGTTCAGTAAATAATCTGAGAATATAGTGGCAAAAATAATTAAAAGTTAAATATGATAATTGGCAACTGTCAGATTTGATGCGTCACCCTGTGTAGATGGTATTTGGGACAGCTTACAAGCTTTCTTAATGTTCAGATTTCTATTCATGTTCTGTGTAAACCTTTGTTTTTCAGATCATTAGAAATACTGTAATCAGGTGTTGTACATTTGCTTGCTTACTCTAAGTATCTTTCCCATTTCAACATTATCATTATATCAGTCACATCAATTATAAAAAATTTACTCCCATTTTGAGTGAAAAAATACCACCAGCGTTGCAGTGGCCACTCTGAGAACACTGTGTCTCTCCATTCCTACCATCAAAGTTGATCTTGTTGGGGAAGCCTCTTATTGATGTTTGGGATAAAATACATTAGGAGAATAATATCATTTTCATTTCCACCACAATGTATTCTACAGAGGAATTTATTTGTACAGAATTTTTAAATTTGGACAAGAGAGAAGGAAAGGTGTTTAAAAATCCTTATTTAAAAATTTTTTCCCTGTATGTTACATTACACATTATAGTTTACTTCTTCCCATTTCTAATTCCTATCTTCCTAGCATCTACTTACACTTATGTAGGTCAATAAACACAAAATTACCTTTAGAATATTCCTACACTTTTTTCCCTAAAATGTGATCACATTTTATTAGGAAGAGCTAAGCCACTGCTAGTAAGGCTTCACAGAAAACAGTAAAGAACAGCTGTACTACTTAATCTTAGTGCACTTTTACCTTGTTATACCGTATGAAGTAATGTATACAGTACAACACAGTGTCCACTGTAGGATTCCACTTATATAATGTATAAAACAAGTAAAACTAATCTATGTTGTTAGAATAGTGTGCTTAAATGTCCAGAAATGTATTCAGACACTACTTTTAATTATCTAATTGCGTTTCTGGACATTAAGAACAGAATTCCAACAAGATAGACAGTATTAAAACCTACCAGAAACAGAAAATGAGTACTGTTGTGATTGTTGTCAGAGCAGATAGGCAAACTACATAAATGATTATATGCAGGATAGCCTGGTCTACAAACTGATAAATCTGAGGAAGACTGAGTCTAAGGCAGTGGTTCTTAACCTTTCTAATGCCTCAACCCTTTAATACAGTTCCTCATGTTGTGGTGACCCCTAACCATAAAATTATTATTATTTTTAAAAATATATTTTTATTGATTTTTTTACAGAGAGGAAGAAAGAGGGACAGAGAGTTAGAAACATCGATGAGAGAGAGAATCGTCAACCAGCTGCCTTTTGTACACCCTCTACTGGGGATGTGCCCACAACTAAGATACATGCCCTTGACTGGAATCGAACCTGGGACCTTTCAGTCCATGGGCCAACACTCTATCCACTGAACCAAACTGGTTTTGGCAACCATAAAATTATTTTCGTTGCTACTCCGTAACTGTAATTTTGCTCCTGTTATGAATTGTAATGTTCTCCTATGGTCTTAGGCTCTATAGCAATGGTTCTCAACCTGTGGGTCACGCACGAGCAGGGTCTCCTAAGACCATCAGAAAACACAGATATTATATAGGTATACAGGCATAACTCTTTAACTCTGGCTATATATTGTTATCTAGTATCTAAAAAGATATAGCACATCATTTGTCTAGGAATCTTACTTCCCATTAAATTGCTAGTTTCAATGCAGCACTTTGCCACTTGATTCAAAAGTACTTTGCTAATGGAGAGCTGCTGACTGGCGTCTTTAGGTAGTTTTAATTGTATGCCTTCAAATAGAGAATCATTTTCCAATATATTTAACTTTTACATTTTTCCATTATGAAGCTGGTGGGTTAATGTTCTTTGCTTTTATTTCATGAAATCTCTTATTTTTTAGGTATTTGAGTCAACTATTTTGTACAGTCCTTATTCAACGTCACAGGATATCAGAACTCCAGAAATGGTTGTCTAATTCATACCCCCCTTCAAGATTAGCTGTAGACAGCAAAGACAGGGGCTGTTCAGCAATAGTTTTATTTATACAACAGAAATTGAACCTCAAAATATTAAATCACTTTTATTCAGAGTCTAGATATATTATTTCATAAAGTCATAAATCAGTTTTAAAGGATGGGGAAATTTACATATGACTATGTTTTTATAATTACTTGCCAAATAAAACATTAAATTCTGAATTCATTATCTTTATACACACTTTCTAAGTGATTCTTGCCACTCAAATTGTTCAGAGGGAGTTGGTCAATTACTGCCTAGTAATACTGAGGAATCATATTACCCAATCTAGCAGAATTCAGATAAATAGTATCTTTGTATCTTAATAACTGACTGGCAGTAGTTAGAGTCGATTTTGGATCTCTAGCCCCCAAAATACATACACCTTTCACAGATATACAGACTCACAAGAGCAGTGGTCGGCAAACTGCGGCTTGAGAGTTTGCCGCTCTGTTGACTAATGAGTTTACAGACCACTGGTCTAGACTCTCGATTCCAATAATTACAGGCTATTCTTGTTCCTTGTTATTTAGCCCCTGTCCTAGTGATTCTCAAGCCACAGTTTGCCAACCACTGCACCAAATTCTCCTTTGGACCCTAAAGGGGACATCTGCTTCTCCTGTCCCAGTTACCAACCTTTCAGCCTTATCCTCCCACTCCCCCTCCCTATTTGGGTGAGGTGTACTTACTGTACCTACAGAATATGCATGGATTTTAGTATTTTACTGAATTAGGAGTGAATCTGCTTATAAGACATATTTTTCATATTCAAACTTGTACACTTTTCCCTTTACCTAGTGCTTTCTCCATTTGTAAAAATAAGGTTATCTGTGCAAGCTTATTTATTTAAAATTCCCCAATACTGAAAACTAAAATGAGAGAGGGGAAAATACCTGCTTATCATATGGCATGAAATCATCAGCTTTCATAGTCCTGGGGTTATACTCCTTCCCTGATAAGCTCACTAAATATGCACAGTGGCGATGCAACCCGCAAGCCTGGCAGAAACAGTCTTTAGCACTCTTCCGATAGATGCTCACGTCAGAATAACTTCCTACCCGCTCCTGAAAACAAAAGATGTAATTAGGCTTTAAAGGATTAGAATGAGGACAACAAAAACAACGTTAAAAGAACGTAACCAGGTTAAACCAATTTTAGGAATCATAACAGGATGAGATATAAAAGCAAAACACTGGTATTTCTAACTTTAATACTGAGCACACAGTAAGTGTGTGACAAGTGATTTTTTACAATAGAAAAATAAATTAGAATTTAAAATATTAAATGGGAAGAAACCAGACTAGAAAATAAATTAGTTATATCCCTCACACTTAGGAGTTACTAAGTTGTGATTTCCACAAGTTTTCTTTCTTTTCCTTCCTCTCATCTCTAGTTAGTGTTAATGAGGTATTAATTAGTTAAAGGTAGGAAATAATGAGCAGCAAAAATTCAGAATTTAATAAAATATTTAGGTTAGTCAAAAACTGAAAGAAAAAAAAACAGGGAGAAAAAAAAAAAAAAACAGGATCACATTTAGTCTCCATTGTGTGAATTATATCATGTTTTCCACAAAATATTCCAGAAATATTTTAATCCTCCTTTGGTTGATTACTAAAGTACTGGAAAATAAACAATTTGGAGCTAAGATTGCTAGATGGTCAGTACCGATGTGGACAGTGGAATAGCTGAGTTAGTGGTAAGTAAACAAATAGAAAATATTTGACATTCATAAATAAGTTTTACTAAGCTGTGAGAATACTTGTGCTTGAGTATTCTTGCTTATGCTCTAGGCCTGTTAGATATTACTGTTCTAATTAGTAGTATAGATTAGGTTTTTTCACAATATTTGAACTATACACAAGGAGCATATTAGAAGGGTTATTAAGCCACTTTCACATTCTCCATTAATTAAATATCCAACAGACTAATAGTTTTCTCTTTCCATTGGATGATTCACAACAACACTGCCTTTTGTCTGTTTTCTCTATTTCTCATATTTCATGACACTTCATGACACATGTCCCTCACAGGCTGACATGCAGAGAGAATAGGTGACTAAGCACCTTCCCTCCATGCTTTTGTGTTCATCAGGAAACACATGCTGAGCAGAAAGCTCTATCAGCTTAGTTCCCTGAGAGAGGATGACAAGCAGAGCACTCCTGTTGACTCACACTGGACAACCGGTGTAAGTGAAAACTAACCTGTTGGATTAAGCTATTGATATTTTGTTGTGGGCTTATTTTCTTTGTCATATTATAGAATAACCTAGTTTATCCTGACCAAGATCATACAGAATCATCTGTGTCTCTACATTCTTAAGGCACTCTCTTTTTTTATCTTATACTTATTTCAAACACTGGGTTACCCATATTCAGCATAACCTACCATATGGAGTAAAGCATAATACAGCATAGTGGTATGGGCTTTGGAGTCAGAGAAACCCTAGAAACATGGGGTTTCTAGGCTTACATATTTATTGGTTTGGTTCATTATTTGATGTATAACCTTATGTTACTCAATTTTTCTGAGTCAGTTTCCTCATCTCTAACGAAAGAAATAATAGTGCCTTTCTCGGGGGTTAACTTTGAAGACAGTAAGAAACTACTTTGTATGTAAATTATTTGGCAAAATTAAATAAATAGTAATGCTGTTTTTCTTTCTATTAAAGAATAAACATTTACATAATTTTCTAAGAGTTGTACTATCTGCTTTACCTTCCAAGTAAGTAAATATTTCCCTTTCAAGTAGGTAAATATTTTCTGGATCTGAGGGAGAAACTGGAGTTTAAAGAGGTTAAAAACACCCCAAGTCAAAAAGATACCCTAAACTCAATTAGTTTTCTTCCTATAACTGTCTTTTAACTGAAACCACCTGTGGCTAATTTATCATTAGGTAACCTAAGGCTGACCAGGTCTTGAGAGAAGCCAAATCTCCTGACATAAATGAGGTCGAGTAGCTAATGATTTCAGTGCTAGAAGGATGTTAGGCAACTTGAACCTCACTTATCTTGCCATTTTCCTCTTGCTAATAATTATTAGAGATAGAATGTTAGAGAGAGAAAAGAAACCTTAAAATTCCTATAGTGCACTCTCTACTATTAGAGATCATAAAGAAATCTAGAGGATAACATGGAATCCAATAAATCTTATAAATTAAAAAGATGCTTTACTCAAATTGGTAGGATTATAAAATCTTCAGGTGGAGAAGGATGTTAAAGACAACCTGGGCTGCAATCCCCAAATTGCATTATGGAAATCCACTATCCTGGGAGGTGTAACTATTTCACAATAAGGAGTCTCAGAGTAAAACACAAATATGGGAAGTTTTATATACTACATGGCTCTCTTGAAGATTTACAGTATAAATTAACACATTCATGTCCTTGAAAAGTCCTCCAGTTAAGTGAAACCCACTGTTTCTCAAACCTTTTAAACATTTTATTTCCTGAAACAACATCCTATGAGACAAACTCCTCTTATTTGTTTGTTTGTTTGTTTATTTATTTATTTATTTATTTACTTATTTATTTATTTCCTCACCCAAGGACATGTTCAAGATTTTCTTTGGGGGAGGGGGAGAGGGGGACCCTAGCCCGTTTGGCTCAGTGGATGGAGCATCGGCCTGCAGGCCAAAGGATCCAGGGTTCAATTCCAGTCAAGGGCATGTACCTTGGTTGTGAGCTCCTCCCAGCCAGGCCCTGGTTGGGGTTCGAGCAGGAGGCAACCAATCCATGTGTCTCTCTCATATAGGTGTTTCTCTCTGTCTTTTCCTCTCTCTTCCATTCTCTCTGTTTTTTTTTTTGTTTTGTTTTGTTTTTTTTTTTTAAGTATTATCATTTTATTTTTTTTTATTTATTTATTTTTTATTTATTATTTTTTTTTAATTTATTTATTTATTTATTTTACATATTTTAATGATTTTTTTTTGCCCCCCTCCCTCCCTCCCCCATATCCCCTCCCTCCCCATAGTTTTATGTCCATTGGTTGTACTTATATGCATGTATACAAGTCCTTCGGTTGATCTATTATCTCCCCCAGATCCTCCTCCCCTCCCCGCTGTAATTTGACAATCTGCTTGTTGCTTTACTGTCTCTATATCTATCTTTTGGTTCATCAGTTTATAATGCTCTTTATTATCCACAAATGAGTGAGGTCATGTGGTGTTTCTCTTTCATTGATTGGCTTATTTCACTCAGCATGATGTTCTCCAATTCCATCCAGGTTGCTGCAAATGATGAGAATTCCTTCTTCTTTATGGCAGCATAGTATTCCATTGTGTAGATGTACCATAGTTTTTGGATCCAATCATCTGCTGACGGGCACCTAGGCTGTTTCCAAATTCTGGCTATTGTAGATTGTGCTGCTATGAACATAGGGGTGCATATATCCTTTCTGATTGGTGTTTCTAGTTTCTTGGGATATATTCCTAGGAGTGGGATTACTGGGTCAAATGGGAGTTCCATTTTCAGTTTTTTGAGGAAACTCCACACTGTTCTCCACAGTGGTTGCACCAGTCTGCATTCCCACCAGCAGTGCACGAGGGTTCCTTTTTCTCCGCAACCTCGCCAACACTTGTCGTTTGTCGATTTGTTGATGTTGGCCATTCTGACAGGTGTGAGATGGTACCGCATTGTTGTTTTGATTTGCATCTCTCGTATAATTAGTGACTTTGAGCATGTTTTCATGTGCCTTTTGGCCTTCCTTCTGTCTTCTTTTGAAAATATTCTATTTAGGTCCCTTGCCCATTTCTTAATTGGATCATTCATCTTCCTTTTATTTAGTTGTATCAGCTGTCTGTAGATGTTAGAGATTAAACCTTTATCAGTGGTGTTATTTGCAAATATGTTCTCCCACACCGTGGGCTTTCTTGTTGTTTTGTTGATGGTTTCTTTTGCTGTAAAAAAGCTTTTTATTTTGATGTAGTCCCATTTGTTTATTTTCTCTTTAGCTTCCATTGCCCTAGGGGCAGTATCAGTGAAGAAGTTCTTTTGGCATACGTCTGAGATTTTGCTGCCTGAGGATGCTTCTAGTATTTTTATGGTTTCCCGTCTGATGTTTAAGTCCTGTATCCATTTTGAGTTTATTTTTGTGTATGGTGTAAGTTGGTGATCTAGTTTCATTCTTTTGCATGTGTCTACCCAATTTTCCCAACACCATTTATTGAAGAAACTGTCTTGACTCCATTGTATATTCTTTCCTCCTTTGTCAAATATTAATTGAGCATATTGATTTGGGTTGATATCTGGGTTCTCGATTCTATTCCATTGATCTATATGTCTGTTCTTGTGCCAGTACCAGGCTGTTTTGAGAACAGTGGCTTTGTAATACAGTTTGAAGTCCGGTATTGAGATCCCTCCTACTTTACCCTTCTTTCTCAGGATTGCTGTGGCTATTCGGGGTCTTTTATTGTTCCAAATGAACTGTTGGAGAGTTCTTTCTAGGTCAGTGAAATATGCCCTTGGTATTTTAATGGGGAGTGCATTGAACCTATAGATTGCTTTAGGAAGTATGGACATTTTGATGATGTTGATTCTACCAATCCATGAACATGGTATGTTCTTCCATCTCCTTACATCATCCTCTATCTCTTTTTTCAATGTTGTGTAATTTTCTGCATATAGATCCTTTACTTCCTTAGTTAAATTTATTCCTAGGTATCTTAATTTTTTTGGTGCGATGGTAAATGGAATTGCTTTTTTAGTCTCTGTTTCTGTAGTTTCACTGTTGGTGTATAGAAATGCCATGGATTTCTTGGCGTTAATTTTGTATCCTGCTACATTGCCAAATTCATTTATTAAGTCAATTAGTTTCTTAATGGAGTCTTTTGGGTTCTTTATGTACAATATCATGTCATCTGCAAATAAGGATAACTTTACTTCTTCTTTTCCAATTTGGATGCCTTTTATTTCATCCTCTTGTCTAATTGCAATGGCTAGTACTTCCAGTACTATGTCAAACAGGAGTGGCGAAAGTGGGCATCCCTGTCTTGTTCCTGTTCTTAGAGGGAATGGTTTTAGTTTTTGCCCATTGAGTATAATGTTGGCTGTGGGTTTATCATATATAGC